AAATAATCAAAAAGATGCTAACGAATGCCAATTGAGAGACTGGACATTTCAGTAGGCATGGGACTGAAACAGCCAATGTATGTTTTACAGGGCACTAAACAGTCCTATCCTATTGACTTTATCAGTATCAGTTCTGTGGAACAGAGCTTTAGTTAAAGCACCCCCACCACCATTTTTCAGCACAGGGATGCTAATACATGTGACACTCCAGGTGCTTTAATCAGAGCAGCTCTCAAAGCTACTCTGAAGTGCCCACCACCTCCCAGAGCATGCGTACAATTGGAATCACTTGCAATTTTCAACCAGTTCCCCTTCTTGTGACACATACCCCAACTTCACAGCTGTCTAGATGACACAAGTAATTTGTAACGTAAGTAATTTTCACAAGTACTGCTTTATTTCTTTCTTCTCCTGTTCTGATTTTTGGTCTCCACCCACCATTAGGCTTTAAAGAACTGGGGCATAAAGAAGAACAATACCAACAAATCTACTGGTATGACAAGCAAACAACTTTAAATTTAATAAAACAGATATATTAGAAAGGATTCTATAAAAGCAAGCTTCTACCTCATCCAGGAAGAGCACAAAACAACCGCCTGAAGAAGGGTTGCAAAAGCTTGCAAAAAAGAATTTTTCCAATTATTTTAGTTGGTCTAATAAAAGATATCAAATTTACCCAAAGAACATTGTCTGCCTATGTCCTTAGACTAACACGGCTACAACCAACACCTTAGAAATAGGTAAACACTCAAAAAAAAGGGTCATAAAAAAGAAGCCAAGCTGGCCACATCATAGTTGGTTCAAAGTCTCATTTCCAGTAAGTGATGGAGGAAAAAGACTTAAAAATACAGTAAGGAACTAGATTCTTTGACAAAACCTACTCTGAAACCTCTCTCTCATGCAAATTGTATGCTCCCATACATAGCAATTCCTTGCTAAATAAAATTGTCATTACAGTTTGGTTCTTTCAAGTTTCACATCAACAGGTATTCCACTAGGATTCCACATAAATACTGTATATGTCACAGCAGCCAGTTTTACAGAGGAGGACAGGACTATCTGGCAATCCCTCTCCAAATTCTAGTCACCATGGTTGACAAGATCTACCCAGTACTACTATAATCATATGATAATCCATTTGTATTTCTGGAGGAGCCTCTTCACGGAAAAAGGAAATAATTTATATAGCCTGCCAAATTTTAAAATAGGACACTGCCAATATGTCACTATCCTGGGGTCCTGAAATAAGTCTTTACCTGGAAACATAGCCATGGGCACACATCCTACCCAAGTGGTTCGTGTCCAGCATATGAGCAGAAACACAAGCAGCTGCATCTCTCATTTGCTCAGCTAAGTCACTGCCTGTGATTTACAGACTCAACCAGTTCACAGTTACATATAACATTCACAACATTTAAATCATCCTAGAGACTAAAAATAGTGTCTAGCCCCAAAAAGGTCCTGTGAACATCTTATATCAATCAGGAAGTTCAGATTTCTACTTTGTTCTTTATGCAATACGTGGTGGTGGTGGCAATGTTTACATGGCTTGATCCTACAAGATGCCAAAAACCATTGCCTTTTCTCTCAGCTGAGGGAGCTCAGCACCTCCCAAGGTGATACCCTGAACACATACAGGCCTGGCTTTCCAAGTAAGGACCAGTGGCACTGCTACATGTTAAAAGTCTTCCCAATTTAAATCTGACTGCTGATTATTTTAAGAAGTCGGGGATTTGCAACTTCTTTCGAATCAGCCAAATAAATTGCTGGGCTCCCCTGAAAAGAGCAGCCAAGATGGTAACACTGTAAATATAAATATAATTTGTGAATTTTAACCCTGTCCCTAGGACTGGAATTTATCAAAAGATATACAGCATCAGTTGGTCACTATAAATAATGGCACAGAGCAGAAGAAATGAAGTTCAGGAAACAATATTTAGTACCATGCAGTACTAAATAGTACAGATGCATTGTATAGATAAACATTAAATATCTAAGTTTATGGATACCTGTGATTGTTATGAGCCTTTCCTTGATGCCACAAACAGCCTACAGCCATTCCCTTGTATGACAGCTTATATATGGATAGTGGCAGTCCAACATAAATCCAATCCACTTTATTCCAGAATGATCATTTCTTAAAGGAAAGTCATTAACCCATACTCTTACAGTTAAACAAAAAGTGATCCAATTAAAGGCAAAAGCACTCTGGAACAATTTAAATTGATTTTTCTCCTGATCTATATGCACGGAGTCTTTTTTTTACGTATCACCTAGAAAAAGGACCCCTGTCCAATATAGCTGGAGCAAACTAGAGATAGACAAACGTAGTAGCTGGTTTTGCTTTTGATTATGAAAACCTCGGTCAGCTAGCTTTACGTGGAACATCAGTTGGAATCACAGAAGCACATTTTTATTTAGGGCCACTTATCGAAGGTACTCATACATAGGCAGTGTTTCCCCACAGTACAGAACCATTTATAAAATTTGTTGTTACTGTCCCTGCTGTTTAGCATGAGCCACGGAGCCTAAAATCTGTCCTTTCCACCAGAAATCCTCTCAGTGTGGGGTGTCTGTCTTTGCTGTTCCTCCTCCTCCATCCCCAGATGTCAAGGTTACCAGGAAGAACACACTGAATCCAATAAAGATTAGGAGTGGGGAGTAAATGTCACTGAGCCTACCCCTTCCCAGAATTAAATGTTTAGAAAGCAAGACAAATTTTTCCTTCTCTTGTCCCTGGAGGCAGTCTAACACTTCAGTGCAGGTGGGCAGAGCCTTTTATGCTCAATAAGCATGGCTAACACATGGTGTCCAGAAGAATACACCAAGCGTAGGGGGCATCTTGCTGATTTTTATACTTCCATAAGGCAGTGAGGATAGCTGAAGTGCATCAATTTTCCATACTGAGGTACTTTTTTGGTATAAAATGGTATTATTTTCTATTCAGTTCTTCAAATCATTCAAAAAAATTATTATAAAACAAGCACAGATAAATTATTGCTTGACATCAGCTGCATTGCTTACTTTTATCATCAGCAGCTTCCTCTCCTCTTTTTTTACCTGAGTCAATAACAGGTAAAAAAAAAAAAAAAAAAAAAAA